GTCCCAGAAATAGAGGCGACAATGGAACCAGCCGAGCCCCCCAATAGAGAACCTATTTGTGGATGGATCGTCAGGAGAGACTGGCTCCGGAGCAAAAGTTGTTTTGGAAAACCCAAAGGGCTATAGGTTAAACTATGAAGTCAGGTTTAGCTTCAAAGCCTCGAACAACACTGCGGAGTATGAGGCCTTCCTAGCGAACCTTAGACTAGCAAGAGAAATGCAAGTGAAAAGGCTCCTTGCGAGTAGCGACTCGCAGCTTATGGTAAGTCAGGTCAACGAAAAGTTTGTAGCTGAAGAAAATGGCATAGCTGCGTATCTGAGATTGGTTATGAACCTAGTCCCTCACTTCGAGAGATTCGAACTAGTTCAAGTCCCACGTCGATGCCCTATCCAAATTGGCCAGCAACAAGGATTTGGAGCTGCTAAAAATTGTTCCAATTGAGCGCCTACCGAAGCCCTCCATCTCTGGAGTCGAAGAGGTACTATGGATTGAAGGCACCCCACTTTGGATGCAACCCATCGTAGCCTACCTCAAAGATCAATCACTACCAACCTTGAAAAGCGAGGCGAAGAAGTTGAGGAGGAGGGCTGCTTACTTTGTGCTCCAGGATGATGTGCTCTACAAAAAGGGCTTCGCCTCGTCACTTCTCCGATGTGTGGGAGGGGAAAAAGCTGTGTATATACTCAGGGAGATCTATGAGGGAGTCTACGGTAACCACTACGGAGGAATGATTCTGGCGCACAAAGTACTTCGACAAGACTACTTCTGGTCGACCCTGAAAAGGGACTCTTGCCAGTTTGTTCAAAAAAAGTGCCAACACTTCTCAAACATTCAAAGGCAGCCTTCTCAAAGCCTCTCCGAGGTCACCAGCCCGTGGCCGTTCGTCAAGTGGGACATAGACTTTATCGGCCCGCTCCCAAAAGAAAGAGAAAGCGCTACTTTTGTCATTGTTGCCATTGACTACTTCACCAAATGGGTTGAAGCTGAACCTCGAGCGAAAATCACTAAAGCGAACACCACAAAGTTCATCAGAAAAAATATTATTTGCAGGTTCGACATTTTCCACTCTTTAGTGTCTGATAACGAAAGGCAGTTCGACAACAAAAAGATGCGAGACTTATATGACGAACTCAGCATAAGGAATGACTTCTCAACAGCCCATCACCCCCAAGCAAACGGGTAAGTTGAGGCAATGAACAAGANTGGGCTATTCAAACAACCAGTCGAACTGCAACAGGTAAAACACCCTTCTCCATAATCTATGGATCCGAAGCCATAAGTCCTGTCGAGATGGGTGTCCTCTCTCATCATCGGATACATTTCAATCAGATCGATAACGACTAGGTTCGAGTGTACGAACTTCACCTCCTCGAAGAAAGGAGAGACTCCTCCCACATAAAATTGGCAAAGTATCAAAGAAAGATGACCCGTTATTACAACACTAAGGTTAGAAATCGAATACTTCGTATGGGGGACCTCGTCATCAAAAGGGTCTTCCAATCATCAAAATCAACTGGGTCCGGAGTGTTTGGACCGAACTGGGAAGGTCGTTATCGCATCCGCAAAGAATCCCAACTTGACACGTATGAAATAGAAGACCTGGCAGGGAAAGTATTGCCTCATCAGTGGAATATTGAACACTTGAAGAAGTACTATCAATGATGTGTATCCTAATTCGATCTACATTTTGCCCGGTATTGTAACATTTCTATCTCACTAAGTGTTGAACTACCTAGGTAAAAAGATGATGGAAGTTTCAAAGTTATAATACCACTATTCTCCATTGTTATGTTGGTTAACCAAGTGGTGCCTCAGTTCTTCAGTGCTTTATATGGGTCAATTCTGCTGTCATCGACTGATTATTATTGGTAAATGGAGCTTAATATTTACTTTACTCATAAGATACAAATAGTTAAATATAAAATTAAAGTAAGAAGAAGCAGCAACACTTGGGAAAATTTTAATCTCATTAATATCAAAACAAAGTACAAAATGTGGGCCGAAGCCATTACAAGGTGTTCCTTTTCTACTCTAGAGGCATCCTCAGCTTTGGTCTCCAGCTCGGCCTCTAGGGTGGCTTCGGTAGATTCTTCAATGGCTCTGTCGGGTCGACCTCCGATAGGTCCACCGAACTCCACTTTCAATGAAGTCAAATCTAGAGTTGGGTGGACCTTCCTCAGGCGATCCAACATTGCCTGGGCATTCCACGAGGCCTAGAAGTTGGCAAAGTCATCGTACAGTGGGTACTCTTCGAAATGATTGATGAAGTTCTGCATCGCTGACTCCCCGCCACCTTCACCTCGGCTTTCAGAGATTCGATCTCCTCAGCCTGGGCCTCTGCCCGTAGCCTCAGCTCCACCTTCTCTTGGTTCGAGGCCTCCAGAGCCTCAGTGGCGAGCCGATGGGGCTTATTGGCATAATCAATCATCCTTGTCATAGCCGCCACCTGATACTCCACTTTGTAGAGCTCCTTCAGCCTCTCCACCTCCTCACTAGCCCTCACCAGCTGGCCCTCCTCCTCCTACTTTGCCTTCTCAACCTCCGAGGCCTTCTCCGGGGTAGTTCCCACTGCATCCTCATAGTGCAGTGCCTCCTAGTGATGGCAAGTCGCCTCACCCTGTCGAGGCTCGTCCCGATGGGTTGATGGGGCGTGGGGTGCTGCCCCGTCTTAGGGCCCCGCCCCGAACTCTCCCCGTGAAATTAAAAAAATAAAAATAAATAAATAAATAAATATATATATATAAATATATATTACAATTTACAAAAGGGCTAGGACGCTGGGTAAGCCGTTCAGTTCAGTCATCAGTGGTTGCCCTAAATCATTTCGACATTTCCCTTTCCACTCTTTTTCCTCTCCTCTCCTCTCGTCTCCGCCGACTACCAACGACGGAATGAACGATCGGACCAAATCAATTTCTCTTAGAATTTCTACAAATGCAAAAGCTGAAAACGCGAGGACCGATTATCCATGACCTAAATCGCAAAGCCAAACCCTAACCCCGCAATCAATTTCGAACCTCCATCGATGGCTTCCCAAAATCTGATTTTCGAGTTGCCAGTCTCACCGCACAGCGTACGCAAGTTAAAGAAATCTGATTTACTGTTTTTCTCCTTTTAATTCGTCATTTTATGTTTTATCTTACATGGACTCGGATTTGAAGTTAATGATATGGGATTGTGAATAAAGTATTGTTATTCATTCTGCTCCTGTGCTCCATCTTCTGAATGAAGTAATTTTGTTAAGATGCAATTTTAATGCATTGGAAGAGTCAAGGTGGAACGGACATCACTGCTATCTAAACTAGGGTTAAACATTAGATAGCATTATCCTGTATTGTTGTTTGTTGGATCCCTGGCTACTGAAATATTTAGTGAGGTTTGAGCTTTTAATGTTTTTCATGTTTGCAGTGTCGATTTAGCAGAGAATTCTTGATCTGAAGTTTTTGAGCTACACGAGGAAAATTGATCCACTTATTTATCTGGAGGTTTCTTTAAAGTAAGCTGAAATGTTGTGAAGTGAGATGAAATTCTATGACTACTTCGCATGTTGTGATTATATTTTTTCAATTAGAACTTTTTCTTGACTAGAAATATTAATTAGTGTATGGATAAAATTATAATTTGATTAAATAAGCGGTGAATCAGTGCGTAGTAATTGTGGGTTCTATAAAATGTGTATTGTAAATTAAAGATTAAACGTAGATAATGTGGATTTCATGTTTGTCTATAATTCTTAAAATATGTCAAGCAGTTTCTGTGAAAGTGAACTTTAAATAAATTTATCCATTCTTTCGAGTTTCAAGTTTAAGCATTTAGAGGAAGCGATTCAAATATGGTGCGTATATGTGCAAAAGTCAACCAAGTTATGACATCAACCACTCATAAATGTGAAAAATGTATAGAACGAGTTATAATTACCATTAATTTTGTACTTTGGTTAACAAATATATAAAACTACTAGCTAAAAATGCAGTCTTTACTCTTTAGAATAATTTGTTATCATGGAAACCAACTTGAGTTGAGACAGATGTCTGGCCAAGTAGTGCTGGAAGTATTGGATTAGGACCAATACACGAGGAAGATAGCACGACCAATGTACCGGAGAGCAATGTCCCGTAAGAAGATCCAATTGAACTGTTACCAAATGCTGATGAAAGGACAATAAACCTAAGTGACGATGAGCGTGATATTGGAGAAATATCATTTGGAAAGAGGAAATTGACTTCAACTGTGTGGGAACACTACAAAAGATAAAAAAAAAAAATTGGTGAGAAATGGAAGGCTATATGCAATCATTGCAAGAAATAGTTAGGGGGTGAAACAAAAAAAATGGTACAAAGTATTTGCATGATCATTTGAAGAGATGTGTATCCCGTTATAAGGATAATACTCACCAAGCAATATTAAATTTCAAAAAGGATGCCACGAATGGCAAGGTCACAATGGGTACTTACTCTTTCAATCCAGTTAAGTGTAGATATAGTCTTTCGAAAATGGTGATTTTGCGTGAGTATCCTTTGTCTATGGTTGATCACATTGAATTTCGAGAGTTCTTACACGACCTACAACAACTGTTTAAGGTTTCTTTTCGCAACACTTTAAAGAGCGACATTTTGAAAATCTATGAATACGAGAGAGCCAAAAATATGATTGCACTTGAGAAGATTGAGAGTCAAATTTCGATCACTACCGACATGTGGACCTCTTCTAATGAAAAGAGAGGATTCATGGTTATCATTGCTCATTTCATAGATGATGCATGGAAATTACAAAGTCGAATAATGAGGTATAGTAAAACATTATATTCACTTGTTCCCATAATTTACCAAAATGATATTCTTTTAGTTAATTTAATTTGTTCTTGAATGAACTCAGGTTTATATATGTGTCGTGTCCACACATTGCTGATGTGCTTTCAGAAACTCTATTGAGTACCTTGATGGACTGGAATATTGATCGTAAGTTACTAACTTTGACCGTAGATAATTGCACCACAAATGATACAATGATCAGTATTGTGTTAAGTCAACTTTGTACTCGTTCTCTTGCACCGAATGGAGAATTTTTTCATATGAAGTGTTATGCACATATATTAAATCTTATTGTGAAGGATGTGTTGGACATTATTAGTGGTAGTGTTAAGAAAATTTGTGATAGTGTTGCTTATTGGACAGCCACGCCAAAGAGATCTGAAAATTTTGAGCTCTTTGCACGTCAATTGAAAATTGATTGTGAGAAAAAATTGGTGCTTGATTGTAAAACAAGCTGGAATTCGACGTATTTGATGCTTAGAGCTTTGATTTATAATGATGTTTTTTCACTTTTGAAACAGAGGGAGTCGTGATATAAATGTTTCCCTAGTGATGGTGATTGGGATTTATCAAAAGAAATATGTGAGAAGCCAAAGGTTTTTTTTAGGTTACTAAATTGTTTTCAGGAACAAAGTATCCAACTACTAATCTCATCTTTGCAAATGTTTGTCATATCAAACTGTCGTTGTATGAGTGGCTTGAATCTCCTTATGTGGAAGTTCAAATGATGGCAACCAGTATGATGGAAAAGTTTAATAAGTATTGGAGCGATATTCATGGAGTTTTGGCTTTAGCAGCAGTGTTGGATCCGAGGTATAAGATGATGTTAGTTAAGTTTTATTATCCTCATATTTTTAATCACAATGCTGCAAGTGAGATTGACAAAATATATCAAGTTTGTAGCAAGTTGGTGCACGATTATCAGAAAAAGAATGATTCAAGTGGGTCTGTAGCTCAGTCTTCTACTTCTTCTTGTCAAACTGAGACGTCAAGTACTAATAATAAATTAGATCGCATGGCGGATTTTTATAAATTTGTTTCTAATGTTGAAGCTCCTAGTAGTGTGAAAATCCTAGTACTTTTTTGGATGAGCCTATATTGCCTCGGTCGGATGATTTTGATAGATTGACATGGTGGAATATCCGACTTTATCTTGAATTGCAAAAGATATTTTGGCCATCCCGATATCTACCGTGGCATTCGAATCTGCTTTCAGTACTAGTGGTAGATTTGTCAGTCCACACAAAAATAGACTTCACCCCAAAACTTTGGAGGCTTTAATGTGTGCTCAAGATTGGTTATGAGCCGATATTCACGGTATGATGTATATAAACATTTGCTTTTTATATTGTTTCTTTTATAAATTTTCTTATTACTAATTATTTTATTTTATTAATAGCGAATTCTGCGCCGTCTGCATATTTTGGAAGTTACTCCAAGATGAATGATGAGGATGTTGATGAGGAGGTAATTTTATTTATCACATAATTAAAATTTTAAGCATAGTTATTATGATGATATTGAGAATAATATTTCTTTGTTTTTCAGGATCCATCTACAATCTCTGAACCTACCAATGAATGAAGTTATGACTTACGAAGATGGAAAAATATCAAATTTATTTTTGGATAAAGAAGTGAAATTTATTTATAATGTAATTATATTTGTAATTGTTTAGTTTCGGATATTGTTTGTTTCGAGTACTTAATTTGAATGTTAGCGTTTTCACTTTTCAAATTGTGAATTTGAGGAGGAGAAAAAAAAGAAAAAAAAAAGGAGCATTACTCTGCCCCGCCCAGTCTAAAGCGGGGCGGGGTGCAAGGTGGGACGGGCTATGTTTGGGGTGTCGCCCCCAAACCCGCCCCATTGCCATCTCTAGTGCCTTCTCCAAGCGCTTGGCCAGATCCTCCCTCTTGGCGTCGAGGTCCTTGACCAAGCTTTGAAGTTGAACACTTGTACTCAGGGCCCGACGCGATGCAAGTACTGTTAGCAGCAACCAGGTCCTTTGCGGTGCAGGAGGAGGTGTGGTCACTCCACTCTTCAATCCAATAATTGCTGTGGACCAGGGCTACGGCCTCCGTCTCCGGAGGCAAGGCTTCCAACACCTCCCTTACTGGATCTTCTTTGTTGGTTCCTAGAAAGTTCACCTCCTTTTTTGGGCAAGCCCTTTTTCTCCTCTGCTGCCCCAGCACTTGTGGGACTGGAATGGCAGTGATAGGGGGACCGATCGAGGCAGTAGTAGTAGCAGTAGAAGTTGTCGGCCTCTCCCTTATGGCCACACCAGTAGGGATTGTTGTCTGGTGGAGGACCGGGGTAGCCCTTGCCACTGTAGGCCACTCCGACAAGCTGGCAGCTTTTTTCCCCAGAGGAGGAGGTCTTTAGGGCCCTTGCCTCGGCCATCATCTGCTAAATAGTTTTGAAGTTGGGCCTCACCGGCCTCTTCTTGTTGAAATCGTCTACAGCAAAACAAAATGGATTAACACAAGTACAATGAGTTTGAAAACACATTACAATATGTACACTCCAGATAGTTACCTTGAGAGGCCATCAGTTCGTGCGTAACGAAGTGAATGTTCTTCCTGATAAGCTCGTTATAAGACTTCCTCTTCAGCGGAAGCTAATAAACGATACAAATTATGTCGAACTCCTCGGCAGAAAGCTCGCACCGAGGAAGAGTATCTGTAAGAATAACAAATAGTTAATTATCGAGCTGGTGCGAAACATAAAAAATCACAAAGCTCAGTACTCACTAAGTGTAGAATACTCTGTGGGGACCATAAGAGGCGCCATGGGGTACTCCGTTGTGTCCCATTTCCCTGAGACCCAGCACCATGAGCTTTTCCATTCCTTGATGGAGCTCGACAGATCAAGCACAAATGGAGTGTGGAAATCCCATGAAGTCAGGTAATGCCACCCGCTGGTCTTATCACCCCCCGCCACTACCTTAGGAATATACAAAGTTTGAAACACCGAAAATGGCATCTCTATCCCAAACAACGCCTCCTTCCATAGCATCCATGACCCCACCATTTGACTCCAAAAATTATGGTTCAGTTAGGTCAGGGCCAGACCATAAGTCCTCAAAACATAACGAAAAAAAGGATGGATCAGCAACCTAAGACCAGCCCTAAATAACGCTTCGTTCACAGCTTCACAACCCGACCTAGGGTAACAGGCCTGCTCATCAGGCTCTGGCAAAATTAGGCCCACACTATCCGGGATCCTATACTCTATCTTAAGTCTATCAAAGTCAGCAAGCTTAAGTTTGGAAGGATAATTAGACGCCCCCAGTGTATGGAAGTGTCTATCGGGCTATCAAGCTGCCTCCAAATGTCCCCCCCCCCCCAATATCACCTCGGACAATTCCAAGGAGGTCGCCAATACTGGCTGGTCAACCCTTACTATCTCCAACTTCCTCCCCGAAGCGTTACTACCCTCAAAAGCCATCTCCAAAATTCAAAAAACACTAAGAACTAGCAAAATACTTATTGAAACGAATGAATTGGGATTTTCTACAGTCAGAAAATAAGAAATGGCCCTCTGTACTCGCTAAAAATTGAGAATGTCGTCAGAAAACACTTGAAAATCACCGAAAATCGTAAAGAATTTTGAGAGCATCGAGAGCTTAATTTCGCAAAAGTGAAAACCTCTAAAAAGGCTCAAGTCCTTCTTTTATAGGAAACCCCAGAAGATCCCCATCATTGAATTCAAACAATGTCAATCTAGGTCGTTCATCTCGTCACAAATCTGGATCGTTGAAATGAAACGCCAGATTTGATCAACGCCCAAGATTTTACGGTGCCCCTCACACACGCATTAAACGCGTCGCCTCGAACAAACAACATCTGTTAGCAATAAGTAGTCGCGGTAGCTCTTTTCTGGGGACAGGCATTACATCCAACTGTCGCCTTGAAAATATGCGACAACTGTCACATCGATTAACGTTATAATAAGACACTTAAGATCAGAGATAATCCATCCCAATTCACCTCAGATGAACACATTCCTCAACTCTAAAAGCTTCGGTGCCACTGACACGGAGTCCCCTGTGGGTCACCGCCTCAGTCGCACGTTTCCTCAGCTTCACAATGCCTTAGCCATCTCCCAACGCATTGTCCCCTGTGGGTCAGCGCACCAGTGGCAGATGAGCTCTTCACCGAGCTTCAAAAGCTTAGGCGCCACTGACGCCCTCAGTTTTACAAGGCGTTAGCCATCTTCCAACATGTCATCCCCTGTGGGTCGGCACACGATTGGAAGATGAGCTCTTCACCCAGCTTTACAAGATTCGGCGCCATTGACGCGGAGTCCCCTGTGGGTCACCGCTTCAGGAAGCCCTACCCACATCACCTCAGTCATCACTTCGCCTCAACCAACAGGTGTTCAGCACATCTGCTCACTTCACCCTTTCACACTAGCATCTCATCAAAATCTACAGTACTTACTCTAAGGCCTTCATACACAGTCGGGAAAACAAGTCCACCCATGACATGAATATTCATGCCTGAACTTGGAGGACCACTGTTATGCCCCTAACTAAGCCACTTCGGTACTCAACCACTTCGGCACAATATTCACACCACTCTCCGAAGTGCCATGTGTCCATCCGAAGTAGTTTCGAAGTGATACCGATTCCTGACGACCTCATGACGCGCTACAAGGTGAAGAGTAGATCCAATGAAGCAACCAAAGTGTCCCTCAACGCCAAAGCGTTGAAGGATCTGAGGCACTTCCTTAACAGATCCCTCCATCGCCACTGTCAGAAAGATATCTGTCATGATCTTGATGTAACGTCTTCATAGGTCTAGTTGATATGACACGTCGACTTTATGTCAACTCAACCCTGAAGAACTAATTGCCCGCCCACACTAGATGTGGCTAATTGACGCCTATGAGCAGACGTCCCACACCGTCAGATGCATACACGTGTCTCACATTCAATGGTGCTCTACATCTATAAATACCCAAGGTTTGGCAAGAGACAGGTAATGAGACTCTTATAACTGAGCTCTCCATACTAAGAAATATATATTCTCCTCCCCACTCTCTTGCATAACTTGAGTACTGTTCCGATCACCCAACACTGACTTGACCGTTGGAGTGTATGCAGTCGCTGCCACCGCCGCTAGTTTCGGCCGTGTGCTTCTGACTATGCATTGTTGTGCTCATAGAGGATTACGTGGAGTAGCTATCCATTGGCCACGTGGAGGTAGGGATGGCAGTGGGCCGAGCAAAGCCGGCTCGGCTCGGGCTCGTGGCAAGCCGAGCTCGTGGCTCGTTTTTCACGAGCCGAGCTGCTCGTTGCTCGTGGGCGAGCTCGGCTCGGCCCAAGAGCTCGTGAAATTTTATTTTATTTTTTTGCAAATTTTTCAAATTTTATTGATAAAATTTTATTTTTTTCCACATTTTTGGACGAGCCGGCTCGTGGGCTCGGCGAGCTCAACTCGTTGGACGAGACCCCCTGCTCGGCTCGAGCTCGAGCTCGTCATTTGAAGACTCCGAGCAGACCACGAGCCGAGCCGGCTCGGCCCAATTGACATCCCTACGTGGAGGATCCAACTCTTGAGATCAACACCAATTATATCCTGCGAACATCCAAATTCTTTCAGCTAAGTCCCTGATTCAAATTTGGAATTTTTGAGGTATTAGTATTACTCTGAGTTTGTGTGTAGTCCTCGTGTATCTTCCAATGATTATTAATAGTTATGGACCAATAATTATATAACTACTTAAATGAGCTAGAAGAATACATTATAATTTACTTAAATGAGCTAGAGCAAACAATACCAAAAAAACATATGCTTGATTAATTTATAATTTTTTCGGGTTACTAACTCAAAGATAGAGTACTCGGCTTTTAAGTGCAGCTAAAATGTTTTGTAGATTTGGATGAATTGAGGAATTCGTTCACACCATCTTCCCAAAAAGGAATGAATGGAAAAAATGGCATATTGTACCAATGAAGAGTTCTGCATCTATTTTACTTTTATCGAAACGATACAAAATCCTACATGAATTCTTTTAAAGGATCAAAAGAAAGTTGGATTAAACGAATAAATGGATAGCATCTATGACTTCAATTAATTACTTCTTTAAAGAACAAAGTTGCGCCCCTTATTTGCAAATTGACTCTTTAATTATGAAATGCATTTTTATGTGTAAGTAAATCATGCAACGACATCTTCGCTTAATCGTTCAATCATTTAATTTTATGTTATTCTTGAAGCTTACTAGTTACATCAATAAATAACAATTCGACATTTTCTCATGGTAGAACAAATCTAATGTTAATATTTTTAGTTTTGAGAATTTCCATGATCTAAACTTAAATTTTTCGAGCAACATTTTCTCTTACGCATAGACAAAATTCTATGTTGCTATTTTATTATTTATCCATTAATAAATATCGATTACAAAGTATTTCAACGTAAGAGTTCTAATCGAACATAGTATTCATTAAAAATAAAAAATAAAAAGTTTCTTCCCTCCTAAAATATTTGTTAGAATCTCTTTTTTTTTTTTTTTTTTTTCCTGGTTTCTAAATATGAAATATGACAAAAGAAAATAAAATAATTCCAACAAAGAATTAGTACCCAATCGCAATTAAGGTGTAGAATTAACACGCACAATGACATATTTCAAGTCAATTGTTATGGTTCAGTGACAGTGAAAGTGAACTTCACGAATGTAAAACGCGTGAGAAGAAGTTGACCTTCGATAAACAGAAATTGATAATGCCAAACCATTTATTATCCTGCCAGATAAACGTACAACTTCTCAAACATACTGTACAATATTCATATGATGTATATTTGGCCTATAGTTGTACACATAAGCAAAGAAAATATAACATACGAAAAAATAATTTAATCAGACACAAAAACTAAAGAAGGGAGTATCGAAGACAGAGAGAACGAGATCAGAAAGAGAACTAAGGGGGGTCTTCAATTTTGTAATTCAGAAAAATATTTGAAAAAAAAGGGAAAAATCAAAATGCCAAGCAAATTATGAAATGAAGACGCGAAGAAGAAGCTACATGGGTTGCTACGAACAAGTGAAAGGAATAATATAATTAAAAGCCCAGAATTTGCTGATTAGTTTCCGTTGAATCGGAATTGGAGGAGCTTCAACAAGGTTAGCCCATCAATTATTTGCTATCCGTGAAGTCATATTTCTCTTGAAGTTTGAATCTTGGTGTAATTATTTTTATTCGTTTGGATTCTGAGCGTCATATTCTGAGCTTGAAGTTGGAAATTCAAGCTTAAATCTTTTATTGGAAGATTTGCATTTGGATTGTTTTGAGAATTTTTGGGAAACAAATAAATTTGTGAGGTTTACTTCGAGTTGTAGGGAAGTATCTTTATTGGGTTCTTCAGATTCCAATTGGATTAGTGAAATAAAGGATTTATTGGTGTTTTAATTGTGTGTTTTTGGTATATTGTTTTAGAGTTTGAAAGTTTTGTAAAAAATTGGGTTTTTGGAGGGAGAGTTAGTTCAATGGAAAATTTGAGATCTCTGTGTGCGTACTCAAACCACCAAGAAGTATAGGGTATAAAATTGAGGTTTCAATATGGGTTTTGGTTTTGCATTCTTGGGGGAGTTATTAGAAGGATTAAAAGTTGTTTGGAAGATAGTTTTTGGAGATGGAGTATAAAACTAATTTAATTCAAATTTCTGTACCATTGTTGTAGCAGAGCTTGTTGGTGTTGTATGGATTTTCTGTGTTGAAGAGAGGGGGAGACTGAGATGCAACCACCACATCAGCATTCACGGATCAATCTGGCAGAAATGAAAGCTCAAATACTGAGGAAACTCGGGCTGGAGGGATCCAAGCAGTATTTTTATTACTTGAATAGGTTCTTGGGTTTGAAGTTAAGCAAGGTTGAATTTAGTAAGCTTTGTCTTAGGATTCTTGGGCGGGAGAATATTCCACTGCATAATCAGTTCATTCGTTCGATTTTGAAAAATGCTTGTAGTGCAAAGGTTCCACCACAGGTGAGTCATGAGGATGAAGTTCTGAAGCATGCTACTCAAGTTAGTAACAAGGAAATTCCTAGCAATGGTCAGCAGAATGGGTCCCATGCTGCTATAACTCAGGCTACTGGTTCACTGGGATTGTCAAATGGGGGTGACATGTTGATAGTCTCACCTCGAAAGGCCCGGACATTGTTTCGTGATCGGAAGACTGGTGAACGTCGTGGTGCACTTGGGCCTAATGGGAAGACTAGTTTTGCTTCTCAGCAATTGTCAGCAACTCAGTCTAGCGATTTCAATGCCATTTATGAGAATGGACATTTGGATCCACCTGATATTGGAAAGCTAGTGCATTGTCAAGGACTCAAGCAGCAAGCAGAAAATGAAAGGGAGTTTTTGGGTCCCCACCCCACGAAATTGTCTGAAGTAAACGGATCATCAGATTATCCAGTTTCTGTACATAACAAGCACCAGACCCAATTGTTAGTTAGAGATGACAGGATAGAGGTTTCTGCTAGAAGTCAACTTCGAGCTCCACTTGGGATTCCACTATGCCCAGTTAGCATTGGTGGGGCACACAGATCACTGCCTCTCATTAGTAGCAGTAGATGTACTAGTACATTTGATGATGGTTCTTTGTTGGATAGTCTAACATTAAGGGAACGAATGGAGCACATCACTTCAGCACAGGGTCTTGAAGGGGTGTCAGTGGAATGTGCCAATATATTGAACCTTGGTTTGAATTCTTACATGAAGCATTTAATAAGTTCTTGCATTGAACTTGTGGGGGTTAGATCAGGGGACAAGCTAACAATGAACGATAGGCAAAAGAATCAAACTTGTATGAAGCTTGTAAATGGTGTCAGACCAGGGCATCAATATCAGGTGCAAGGTAGCGGTAGGCCTTTGGAAGTGCAAGAACATAGAACGTGTTGCCCGATTTCTTTGCAGGATTTTAGGATTGCCATGGAGCTGAATCCGCAGCAACTTGGTGAAAACTGGCCATTGCTGCTGGAGAAAATATGCACACATACATTTGAAGAATAACATGGAGCTCGGATTTGTTGTTTTTCCAGTGGTTGTATCTTATTCCTTTGGATCATAACTCATAAGTCATCTGATACATTGTTGTTCTTCTCGTCCCTATAGTGACGTTAAATATGGTGATTTCTCATTCAGGGCCTTTTGATTTAGAGCTCTAAAGTGAAACTACATCTATTGCAAGATGACGGGCCAGAGCAGATAATCTTTATTTCATTCTATTAAAGGGCTCGTCTTCATTTGGAATTGCTCCATCATCAGCAACCTGATTTGGTTCCACTGTTTTACAATTAGCACTGTCCTCACTTCACATTTTTCTTCTTTCTCCTGAAATTGCAGTCACCGAGAAAATTTAGATCATTTTTGCACAAATAATGTGTAGATCAGTGCTTTAGCAAAAAAGTGGGATTGCATGATGCAATAGTCATGTGCATGTACCTTCAACATTAATATTGATTGGAATCTCAATATTAACATGTTTTCCTCAGCTTCTTACTTTGTTCTTTAAAATATGTGCCCTTGGTAGTGTCCATCAGAAAGATCATACTATTATTTGTATTGTTACGAATATTTTTTTTCTTGTAATATAGTTTAATGGCTGAAGGTATTTTCTTGGAATGACATTCTACTTTGCTATTGAAATTTAATGAATTTCACTTTATAGGTGCAGAAATAGCACAATGTAGTGAAACTTGTTTGTAACGGAAGATTTGCTTCTTTTTATATGATTAAGAAAAGGGACATACATTATGGGCAAGAATTCATGACTTGGATGTCCAAGAAACTTAAGTTGTTTCTGAATAGCAACGATTAAAAACTATTCATGTGACCAGATATATACTTCACCTCAAGTTCTTACTGCATTTTGTTGCCTCCTTTTCTGGGTTTTAAATATTTTATTCTTTACCTTTTTCCACTTGCATTAGACGATTTAATTTTAGACGAATCACTGTAGCATCTTATAAATAATCTAATTGAGACTTAAACGGACAAAACAAGCTTTTTCTTGTTAATCCTACTTATTAAGGCTATTCCACCCCCCCCCCCCCCCCCCCCGCCGCGCCCCCGATATAGAAGAACATTTGAGCTGTTGTGAACTATATTATGAAATAAATAATATTTTATTGGTTAAGTTGGAAATAAATAAGTTACTTTTTTTACAGCAAGTTAATTTAAAATAAGTAAATTTTTCCCTTTAAATTAAGAAAATAGTAAGTTATCCAAATATGTTTAGCAACAAAAAAAGCTTAGACAAATGCTCTAACTACTTTTCTACTGTCATTGCTGTTGCTGCTAGTATGTGCTTATATATATTTACTTCTGCTCATATTACATTAGGTATAGTCAAATTGCAGATTGCTGTATTCGAATTCTTTTGTGTTAAGATGCTCAGTGATGTGTTATCAGTTTCCAACCTAGGAGTGTGATGACAGCATTGCACTCATGGAACCATGGTAAGAGTATGCAAGAATTCTGACGCATCACGCCCCACAATATTACTGGTATGAAGCATGTACATTTTGAGAAGATACGAAGACAAAACGTTCAATTAATGCCACATTCGGGATCATGCCTTGTCTACCATATAAATATATAGCAATGAAATACCTTACCAATTTTTAACAAGTAGAGGTTAGCTATATAATCAAGATCGAATTTTAAAGCTCCCAATGTTTGATGATGCGGAATGAGACAAGAAAAAGGATGGGAGAAAAGGAAATTAGATAGGAAAGAAGACAAATAGAGGAGTAAAGAAGAATTTTGGGTTAGACTTGTAATCTGATCGATATTCAATGTTTGGGTTAGACTTGTAATCTGATCGATATTCAATGTTTGGGTTAGACTTGTAATCTGATCGATATTCAATGTTTGGGTTAGACTTGTAATCTGATCGATATTCAATGTTTGGGTTAGACTTGTAATCTGATCGATATTCAATGTTTGGGTTAGACTTGTAATCTGATCGATATTCAATGTTTGGGTTAGACATGTAATCTGATCGATATTCAATGTTACCTCAATGAAAGTCATAGGTTCCCTTTTATAGAGGAGGAGTTTAAACTTAAGGAGACTTGTAGTGAACCACAACATTAACAAAATATCAAACTAAACAAACCTAATCTATGTCCAATTCTATTTTTAATTTTATTTCTCCTAAAAAACACTTTCAATCTCCCGTCATTTGAAGTTCCATGAGAAATGCTTGCTTGGAAAATATCTATTTTCTAGCTCAGTTTCTGAATCAATCGGAGACATTCTACCATTTTATCACCATCATTTTTAGCCACTGTCTTTGTAGTTATTTATTGGTATTGATGAACAAATGTTGTTATTTTAATACGTAATACTGTATCACCATCGTAAGAACTATCAATTTATATAGGCCTTGCAAACAATTCTTCATGACTGTTCATCTAAAATATACATGTGGTTGTATACGAGGACAAGAGGCATAGCTAGGTTAATTTGACGGATCTCCTCTTGATGAATTATTTGGGTGTCTGCTGAAAGGTTCAGTCTCTTGTTGGACAAGATGAAGGATAGCCATGGGAACTGATGAGGATCTTAAAGATGGGAAGAAGATAATTGAAAGGAGAAAGGATATGAGTTCTCTGTATTGTTGCCAACTCGATTAAGTGGTTTGGTGAGAGATATGGAAGATTGAGGACAGTAAGAAGAAGCGAATGATGTAGTTAAGGAAGGTGATGGGTTTTCAGACGAAGTTGCTACAGGAGTATAATGTCCAAGGCACACACAGGTACAATTTTAAAATACGGGAAAAGGAGGAAAATCTGGAGAATGAGGTAATGATGTTTCTGCAGAGATTGTCGGGGGTTGTGCTTGTAAGTTTAACTCATTCAAGCATGTGAGATGTGTCTTGGTAAAAGGAATGCTTGCCTCCATGTTGGGAGGAGGACTAGAAAGTAGAAACTGAGTACCCTTGGTCCATTTCCTGACTAGCTCTTTATTGGACTGTCAAAACTCAAAAGTATCCTGGACTTGTCTATATATCTGATCAACAATGGGTATTCTTCAATGGTAACTTGGTTTATGCAACTGTTGAAGACTGAATTTGAATACATAGATTTGTCCTCGCTCCAACAGCTTAAGCTTTTTTAGATGAGATTGTTCTACACATATATCTGTATCAAGAGTTGTCATAGATTAATTGCATTTATGATTCTTGTGTTAGGTGAAATATACGGTACGCTGTTTCTGCGTCCTTCTGGGAGCACTAAGGCACATCAGTTTCATACATGATCTCAGGTCTGCAGACACTTCATGTATAAGCCCTTGTTTGTCACCCTTTAAATTTTTAATACATTTTTCTCTTTCTTCTTTTCAATCACAAATTCTTCACTAAAATGATATTACATGTAAATCAAAAAAAATTCTTTCTTTTTCAACTACACATTCTCCAAAAAAATATTATTCCATAATACATTATACCAAAATTTCTCATTACTTTCTTCGTTGTAAGACATTAGTAGAAGAACATGCTTGTGATGCATCGGAAATAGTAAATAGAGATGGAAAAAAAATAATGAGACCAATTTATGTCTAGATTTTCCTTCGCACCAATATTTTAGTATCAAAACCGTGTTAAGCCCGTGGAATCTCCCTCATTTGAAATGTAAAGTAAAGAAATTTGGTTAGGTGATATAGCTTTGAGAACTTGTCATTACATTTAAATGACCACAACGATCTGACCTGATTAATGGGTGTGTTAAAAATAACTTGTGATGAAAGGTTAAATTATACCTTATGTGAAGCATTAATTCAAATATTTTCAAAATCATTAACAATGAGGGAAAGTGGATTCTGTAGCAGTGACAGGCATATTGAAAAGATGATAAAGCATCCGAAGGTGCTTTTTTTTTTTTTTTGTGTGTGTGTTAACCCAGGTGTCTCAGCTTCGTCGGACTAAATCCTGGACCTCTAGCCCCCGACCCCTCAGTGACTAGTCGAGGTAAATCGCGGGATGTGCCCTTATTGACTCCCAGGTTCCTGCATGGCTTTTACTCCCCCAAAGAGGGCCCTCTCCACTGCCTTCCAGCACCTTGCCTTCCAAGAATAAATCCTTGCCTTCCAAGATGCTGCTTTCCAGGAATCGAACCCTCCACGCTTGGTTTGTGAGCCCACCAATGCAATTGTTCAACCAACTCGGATGTGCCCCGAGAGGCGGTGCTTTATATTTTTATTTATGCGTTGGGTGGAGAAATAGAACAGGCTTGCGGTTGTTGAATATCGACTAAACAGTATTAAGAAAAGGTGCACTGAACAATATTAAGAAAAGAAAAATAGCTTAAATATTGTTTATTATACTATCCCCTCTGTCATGTCAGCACAATTTTGCATAAGAAATAGCCAACTTGTTTCTCGAGAAGAGATGGGAAACATGTTCAATATCATTTGATTGAATGGTTGACCCAGCCCCTTGTTGTTTGAAGAAATCCCAACTTCAAGTGGTATTTTCTGTTGTGCTTTCGACGATTCCCGTGATATAGGAATAATTTGGATTTCGATGAGCAATACACTGAACTTGCATTATGAATTTTTCGATCTAGTAAATTGTTCCTCTTTGAAATAAGAAATAGGTAATCTATGACTATCAAGCAAAAAAAGATAGGACACTTAAAGGAAGGTTATGCAGCTAAGTAATAGTGATGGCAACTGGGCGGATTCAAGGTGGGGTCCCCGCCTCTCCTGCCCCACGCCTTGCCCCGCTGTTGACGGGGGGGGCGTGGAGCGTGCAGTTTTCTTGTCCCGTTTAATTTTAAATTTTTTTTTTTTTAAATTCTGAGTTCAATAAAATGCGAATAACATTCAAGCTGAGAAAATTAATATCCAAAATAAACACTACAAATCTTAAATATAATGGTCGTTATTGGTACACAACATTGATTATTAGGATGAACAAGGTTTTTTTTTATGTTTTTTTCCTTTGATATTGTCACAAAAGTTGTAACTCGTTCTATTTGAAATAAGTTGAACCCTAACCTTTTATATAATATTTAAAAAAAGAAAAATCATAGGGCGAGGTGGGCAGCGATGAGACGGGTTTTTTTGCCCCATTCGGGGTGGGCGGCGGGACAAGGTAAATTGCCATCACTACTTATGTTAACATTGATGCATAAGACGATCTCTAGATTTACCTGAATTTTCATTATTGCCCTGTACTTTTTTGCAACAATCTTTTAAGCATCAGGGAATGACCAGATTTTTTTGTTAGTCATATCAAGTTATTCTAGTGTCGTTTGCACTTATTTATCAAGATACAGTATAGTTTTCTTTTCACATGTCATAATAAGGTGTAGTAATTTCAAGGGCTGTTCTGATCTGATTCACACATTGGAGTTACACATCTTCAAAGCAAGATTTATTCATGTGATGTAACAAATTTAGGGCACTCTGTTCCCCGAAACCTGAATTTCATTTTATACCATTTCAATATATTTGGAATTTTCTAGAGTTTTCATGTTCTCCTCTAATAAGGAGCTACGTATTGCTTCTACTTTCACTGCTTCCTGGATCTGAACATCCACTTCTATTTCATTGAACTAACAATTTTCCGAATATCCTATCAGATCCATTTTCATTTTTCTTTTTCATTGGGTTGTTCCTCGTGGAATTGTGATCCCTTCAGTTATAGCCGTAAAGACCCTGATGAGGTTTTTGGATGACATCCAGTGATTGACAGCAAATTCGCAAGACTGACTTAGTCATGTTAGATATTTTCTGGGTAATCTGTGGCGGTTTTACTTTTTGACTTCAATATACCCTCAGACTCCATTGTCCATGTCAATTCCTTGACGTCGTTAAATTGATCTAAAAAAAAAGAAACTTGGAGAAAAAATTTCTTATTCTGAATTCCTAAATGTATACACTTCGAGGCTAAACCCTCAAAAACAGTAGATCCATCTTTGGATCTTTCATGTAATTAAATAAGTTTGAGAGTTCTTCATACTCTTAAACCTTCTTTCTTTGAATAAAACTATATGTTTTAGTCAATTCTTCAATTCTTCATACATTTTCTTTTCTATATACAAACCATGCATAGATCTTTACAGAATCAATGGGACTAAACAGTACCATCAGGTAGGTGACCATTAGGGAAGACAGTCCAAAAGATTCAACAAAGTAAGGCAAAGGAGTATACAAAATCTTCATCCGGGCCACAATGGACTTTTCAGCGAAAAGAGACAAAATTGGGCAACTTCATTGATATCATGGTAATGAGGACCCACACTGTTCCACTGGAGTGATTTTTCGTCTTTCTTAGCAGTGGCAAATATAACAGTCCCAGAGATGAACCATCAGGATGTTCAAAAGTCCCGTTGGTTCATCTTTCTGGGAGGAGAGACCCGGTGGACAGTCAAAAGTACCTGTGCGTGCCAGATAATTATATTCCGAAATCTTCCGTGATGTTAAATGCATTGCCGACATCAACTTAACCATGTTTTTTCATTACATGTCTATTCATCACTTTTTGACTATTGCAACAGAATACAGTACAGTGGCCTCAAGTTTATCTCGCTTTAATTGGATAGGACCTACCAGTTGTAGTTTTCAATTTATCAAGACAAGGATGCAAGTTATAGTAAGCTTAATTGGAGAATGAGGATTATAGAGCCAGAGTTTATTGTCTTTCTTATATCAAAAATAAAATAGGGCGCGGCGGGGAGAACTAAACATCGAACGAACAATCTCCTTTGGACCCCAGTACAATGCTGTTGAGTGCTAGAGGGACTAAGAGTGGAAAAATGGTACACACACTGCATAATTGTGTTGTCAAAAACCTTCAAAATTTTCCCTAGATATGTTTGTTTCGTAGTACAAGATTACGAGTACTACAAAGCAAGTGAAGTCTGCCATCCTTACTTGTATATCGAAGTAAAACTCAACGAGGGATCGTCTGGAAACACGATATATTTACAATGATTTGATCACATATTTGTGTCTTTTTGTATCAGATTATGTAAAAATCAGACTAGGGTTGTGAGAGTAACATGACACCCTTGTTTGTTGCAGGATGATTATGATTTGTAGTGAAGGATTGAGCCAAACCATGGTCGCATCATATGGCTTGTTTTCAGAACAATCGATACTTGCGTTTAGAATGGCGAGGCAACGGTTGTGATTCTATTCGTCTCAAAATGTCCCACATTATCTGCACATCCTCGTATCCACAAGTTTGGATGTCGTCATGAAGTTTCAAAAGCCCGGCACCTAAAGAAAGGAAAAATTCAAGTCAGTCATTCATCTAGCATTACTCGTTTAATGGGTAAAGCGTACTATGCAATATTATAATATTTCTCCTAACTTATTATTACGATATAAATTGGTAGGGTAGAATGGATAACGTTTCATAGTATTAAAAAGTGAAATCTCGACAGACAAATCTTTAGAGTTATTATTATTAAAATCACAACTTGGATGTGTGAGTTGAAGTGATCAACTGGCTTTAAGCGGCCTTTGGTGGAAATTTTAGATATTTTGAATATTATATGTGGAAAATATGAGAAAATTATTCCAAACCTGTCACTGTAACCAAAACATCATTTAAATAGTTAAAGAGTGCTTTCGGTAAGTAGTGAATTGAATTCACACATATAACCAGGAAGAATACACCAAAATTATGTGATTAATTGATCAATATGTCATTATAAAACACTTAGTGGATCTAATTAGCAGAATCCTATGCCCAATGGAGGGGTGGCATAGGGTAGAGCCACTCGTGGGCCCTGCTCATTCTTAATAAAAAAAAGAGGGGGGGGGTGGGGAAGGGTTGAACCCCAACCTTAAAGGTACCCTACCACCTCGTCCTTGGAGCATTGTGAGAGAGGTTAATTGCGAGATATGCCCCAACAGATCAGAAAATAAGAGTTACTTGTACACTGGACCCTGCTCATCCTAACTCGATTTATTAGCTGTTCGAGCTTGTTTAGAAATTAGTATGGACTGATACGATTTTTCCTACGAGCTAAGCAGGGGCTCTTCCCTCATGCATCGTTCGATACGATTATTATTATTATTATTATTATTATTATTATTTTGCTCATTTTTTTTTCTTGGATTTATTTTTTGTTCTTTTAAAAAAATAAAAAAAAATTGAAAAATATGAACCAACTTGTGAAGCCCACGTGCCAAAGGGCTGAGCCCAGTCTACAAGAAACAGAAGAATGTCAAATGGACCCTTAGCAATTTATATCACTTAAAGATAGAATTGATTTACTTTTACAAACAACTATAGATATAGATAATTTTATTACTTAACCATTATTTAAAATCATGCCAAAACAATATTAGAAAAAGGCGAATATTAAAGTTTGTACATTATCTTCTCAATAAGAAAATGACTTTTCATGCATCTAAACAAATAAGTAAAGTTAAGAAAATCTTTATTAATTTAATTATGGCTATATTTCTTGCTTTTTAATTTATGCTTGAGAAAATTTAAAACTCTTATTGAAGAAACTTTGACCTATCTTTTGCAATCTTGATTCTGAAACATACTTTCGGCCGAGGGATAAAGAAATGACCCTTTATTCTCTTCTAACAAATATCATGTCATTTTTATTTTATTTTTTTGTCATATATGGTTTGTAAAGTTGAATTTTTTTATTTTTTTTAAAAATAATACTCAATAGTATTAAGAAAGAAAATAAATAAATAAATAAAGTGTCCCATATATGCAATTGAAAGTTTTTAGACTATTGAGTTCAACTTGATAAAATAAATCCCACCCCACCTACCTACCAATGACAATCAAACATTATGAATAGAATGTTCGAGCTGTTGAGACAAGTTACAAGTAATCAATCGCGGTTAGGGGAACGACTCATCTTTTCATATAGAGATCTACAACATCGTATTCTCAGATAAGTGACTTCACACATTTAATATTTTACTAGGAATAGCCATTAATGAACCAATCTTGCACGACAAAGGTCGTGTGCACTACTTTTATACCTATTACACTAACTATGCATAAGAGGAAGAAGAACCCTAAAATCGATTTGTGAAGAAACGGAAACTAAATTATCATACACTTACAAACTACGTTTTAACTTAACCATACGAGAAACAATTAGGTTAGTCGTTAGTCGACTTGCCCGGAGAGATACTAACCAGTTTTGCGAGCCTTAGCTCGTGCAGAAACAGCGAACCAAACTCTTCTAACAGGGAAGACCATTTTATGCCACCACTCCATCGCCTTTATCTTCACCTTCTGTCGCGGCTTCCTGCCACCGATTCGACTCAGCACCACCCGTATTCCGGCCAGACCGATATTCTCTCTATATTCGACCCAGCTTTTTTACTCAAATAACTTTGTTTTCCACTGCATGCAAAAGAAAACACACACTCACACAGTAGAGTGAGAGAGAGCTTTTGAGAGCCTAGAGAGGAAGAGAGAGATTATGCACTGAGTTAATGGTAGCAAAGAGCACTACTTTAAACATTTGGTCACTTGGGAATGGATTATAATACTAGTCTATTCACCGACACGTGACGATATCGGTGGGGATTTTTTTAATAAAGTTTTTAATTAGTCAATCATATTTTGACGCGTGCCTATGTTGTTGAAATATCTTGTCTTTTGACTTTTATTTTATTATTATTTTTTTTCCCCTAGCAAATTTGACTTTGATGGAGGATGTGAACAATTTAACTTCAAAATTATTGGAGATCTCACATGTTGTGTCTAGATCTTGGTATGGGGGGTTTGGGTAGGGCTAGGGGAAGCGTAGGGTAGAGTAGGGTTGGGATGTGAAGTGGTAGGGGTAGGGGTAGGGTAGGGTAGAGTAGGGTTGGGATGTGAAGTAGGTTAATTCGAGTTGAATTTTTCGTATAAATCACTTGTTAGCTTGTACAGCTAGCTCATTCGAGAATTGAGTAAAAAAAAAAAAAATTGATTTTCTAGCCAAGAAAATAACAAAATGTGCGAGCCACGAGTGACTCAAGAGTTGGCTCGGCCGGACCCACTTGACATCATTATGGTATGGGGATCGAGCTATTTATCTATCCATCTATGTAGAGCCTTTCTTAGCGCATTAGTTATGACATAGATTTGAATATGTACGTGGCCTGATGCTAGTTTCAATAATGAAATGTTAATAAAATTAGTAACCCGATGACAGAGAAGTCGGTGATCAAAGATGAGATAAGGGATGTAAAACAAAAAGAAAAAAACAAAAACAAAAAAAAAAAAGAATCATAAATTTAATTTTGAAGAGCCAATAGCAATTTATGACGAATTGCTTTCCAATTTCGATATAGTTCCTCGAACTGAACCAGCTCCCAAATGTGTAATAAAGAGAAAAGTTAATAATTACATTGATCCATATATTGAATATATGGTGGTGAAAAAAATATATTATATAAATGTACATGTATTAACGTCTAAGGATATCTCTATTTTTTAATTGTATCTAAGGACCAAAAGGCATCACCAACTCAATCATATTTCAACAAGTAATTCACCAGTGGTAACTTTTACAAAAAATAAAAAAAAAAAAAAAAATTGTGATATTTTAAAAAAAATAATTATTTAAATGTCGTGTGACTCGTGTTGCCAAATCATATATTATTGAAATTCATGTTTAATAATTTGGTCTATTATACATATTGGTTTTGCTAAGTGTCGGTAGCCGCCTGGCCACGTGGCCTAATCAAAGTGTAGGTACGAGCCACTGAAAAAGATTGGTCGCCAATCATATAGTTTTAAACTATTATCGTACTTGTATCCTCAATTTATACTTTATGCCATTATTTATCTCAACTTTTTATTAGTTTTATATATATATAAAACAAAATATTTATCCTTCATTTTAAAGCAATCCTTACGAAATATTTGGATAGAAATTGTTTTAAAAAACAAGATGTTCTAATTAATTGAAAGTTAAATACGAAAAATGCAACCAAAAAAATTTGACCATGAACAAAGATTAAAGACCGTCGTTGCATTGAAATGTTGCAGCCACTGAATATGCCAATTTTTTTGTAAATGCACCACATGTAAATGCATGAAATGTGTCACGCTTATGTCCCCAACTTTTTCCATTGCATTATTTTTTCATTAATTAGTACATACGACTTCCATAATGATAGTTTTTGTCCCAATTTTCAATTAATAAGAGAGTAAAAATGTTCATTTATCCCTTGAATTTTATATAAGCAAAAAATAAATGAAAAATAATTGCAATCAAATATTTATCCCTCATTTTAAAGCACGCTAATAAAATTTTTGGATGAAAGTCATCATTATTGAAAATATATAGTAATTAATAAAAGGTTAAGGATAAGAATACAAAATTTAGAGAAATAAATTTGACCACGAAATATAATTAGGTACATTTAATGCAATTAAATATATTCATTTATTAATAAATTGTGATGTTAAAATAAAATATTTTCATTATATCTCTTCATTATGTAGTATAGACATTGCTATAAAGAAATATATCATTCCCCGCTTGTTAATTTTGTGTAAATTGCCTAAAGGACATTTCAATAAAATGGTATTATATAAAATAAAAATTCTGACAGGAAAAAATTGACGAGTTAGAACAATTTTCCAGTTGAATTAGTAATATTATTCAATTAAATTTCTGGGCATCGCTACTGTTAGAATTATTTAGAAACCCCCTTACATTAATCTCACATCATGTTTTCAAATTAATTTTAAATATCAAACATCATAAAAAGCCAAAGTTTAGAACGTGCTTCGTTTGTTAGATAAAACAAGACAACAGACAAAATTATCAAAATTAAGCATGTTCTTATAACATATTGTATTTTCAAATAAAGATAGAGTAGGAGACGAGAATATCGTTATTACTTCGTCAAGTTCAACAAGCGTTAGTGCCAAACAAGTCACTAAGATAACTTTTCGGGTCTCGAAGCCACTTTGTACCTAACATTTGTGATCTCTGCTAGGGTCCTACTTAATTTTTGTTCAAACATCTCTCTATACCACTAGCCCACAATCATTCTAATTTAATTATTTTAAAATATTTAATTGTTTAGTGTTATCTTACTATTTCATGAATTAGTAGTAATCTCAACTTGAACAAAGGATCGAATTGCTAAGTTGTTAAGAACCTCTCCAATTAAGTCATTGCAAGGAACAAAATTATCGGTGCAAAATTTATGAGTTTTTAAGAGTACGAGTACGAAAGAGAATCAAAATGAAACTTTAGAGGGATCTTGGATTACTCATCATACCAATTTAAACTAGAGTTCTAAGAAAGATTTATTAGAACCAATCATATATATAATGGAAAATAGTTGTTGGATAACGCAGATATTGCAGAGTAAGTTAATCGACTTGGAAGTAATATCAAATTAAATGATGACTATTTTATATGAGAAAAATAATAACACGTTCATGTCTAGGAACCATGTAATTAATACAATATTTATTATTTGTGTTTTGTTTGGTTAGAAATTTAGAAATTTGGGCTGAAATGAAATAGGTTAATTATTTGAATGGTCACTAAATTTTGTCAAGTATTATTACTTAATAATTGAACTTAAAAATGTATTTAAATTATCACTGAACTATACATAATGTTACCCTATCCATCACTTACGTGAAAAAATTCGTTAGGTTCAACAAACCACGTCGACTTTAGTAATGAATGAATAACATGATGCATAATTTAATGAACATTGAAATAAATTTTTAACTTCAATTTATTATGTAATAACACTTGGTATATTCAGTGACTATCGAGATGCATTTTTATGTTCAGTTATTAAGTAATAACACTTGACATAGTTTAGTGATCATTGAATTACATTTTTAAATTCAATTATTAAGTTCCTCAAATCGATCTCAAAGAGGAAATAGAAAATTAGAGACTTATAAATCAATGAAAAATAAAACTTTTTCTGATGTCCATTCTGAAATAAATGGGTGAATTAATGATGCAGGAGGATTCGAGTCGAGTGATGCTAATTTGTCTGATAACACGATGATGGCACTGAGATACCATGAGATGGCGGATCAGCGCAAAGATAGGAAGTGAATCACAATTATTTCTTTAATTGGGGGAATTCGACACATCTTTGGTAATTTGGCCATAACTTTGGCTACGGTTATCAGAATCGTTATTATGACCTCAATCTGGAAAGCTCTCTTCGACGCGCACGTCGTGGCCACCCAACTATACTTGATGGACGTCAATTTTGAGCCCAAAATTTGCTGTTTTCCTTTCCAAAATTCAATGTTAAGTTATTTTTTGCTATTTATGGTAATATTTCGTTTCCCTTTTTCCATATGTTAGAAAACTCGAATTGAGCCAAATTTTTGGCAACCTACTTCTTTTACTTAATAGTTTATTCTGGTGTAATTTTGAGATTTTATCTTTTTGATAATTTTCCTATAATTTTGTATTTTGCAGCTATTTAACCCGGCTTGTGGGTTAATTTTGGTCATTCTGCATTATTAATAATATTGAGTTGATTCCAGAGTATTTTCTTTGATTTTTGGGCATTTTTCTTTCGTTTATTTCTTGCGAATCATCTGCTATATGCTATAACAAACTAATAGGATAATCACTATCCTACACGGCGTCAGTTGGTATCAGAGCGTCAACATCTTCTTGGAAGATAAATTCCATCAGTTATAATGGTTGGTGGACGTGGTCGTGGTCGTGGTCGTCGAGGGCAGGTTCCAATTGAGAAAGTCCCACACCGTGATCGTAATATTCAGGATGTGACGATTGAAGATTTGCAGAGACAAGTTGCGGAGTTAACCCAACGTTTGGCGGAGCAGGAGTTCGGTAATCATGATGTGGAGGGTCACGATTCCGATACCATTTTCGAAAACTTGTACCACCATCGTGCTCGAGTTTGGGAGCATCGTGGACAGGAGGATCGTCATGTGGATCTGCCCGAGTTTTCTGATACATTGCAGGCTGAAGGCTTTATTGATTGACTGAATAAAGTGGAGCGAATTTTTGAATATAAGGAGGTTCCAGATCATGTCAAAGTAAAACTGTTCGCCATCAAACTTAAAGGTAGAGCATCTGCATGGTGGAAACAGTTGAAGCGGACATGGGAGCGACAAGGAAAATCCAAAATTACGGACTGGGAGAAGATGAAGAAGAAGATGAAAGGGCACTTCCTCTCTTTCGGCTATACTCAAACCTTGTTTTAGAGGCTCCATTCACTGAGGCAAGGCGCAAGATCAGTCAATGATTATACTGAGGAATTTTATCAGCTGGTGGCTCAGAATGATTTATCTGAGATGGAGGAGCAAATGGTAGCACGGTATTTGGGGGGGATTAAGGCAACCCCTGCAGGATGTTTTCAGCTTTCATTCATTGTGGATGATTTCTGAGGCATATCAACGGGCACTTGCAGTGGAGAAACAATAGAGTAGGAGGCCAGTGGTCAGAGGTGAAAGTAGTCAACCAGTTCGCCCTCAAGAATCTCGTCCTGCTTATCAGC